GAGGGAACGATATTTCGAACGCGCATCGTAGCTGAGGTCGGCCAAGTTTTTGAACATTTATACATGTGGAGTTTCATATATTTGGGGAGCGGGTATTAGAATCCTTACACAAGCCTAAGTAAAAAGTAACGGCAAGCATACAACACAAACTGCGTAATTAGTATTAATATTAATGTTGTAAGTTATCATACTAACAGCTCAGGTACATTGACCGTTGGTAGCAAGTGTATATTACGCACTGGTTGGCGGATTTCAGTTAAAATATACACTTACAATTTCGGTCTATGCGTATATGCTTTAGATATGCTGTTGTATACAGCGGTCAGAAACTAATTACTAGGGAAATTAAAAGGCTGAAGGAATGTTAACATTAAAACACCACTCACAACGTTGCTCATTGACGTGTTTTTGAGCCTGATAGCGAAACGAATTCGCACTGTGCCCATCGGTAGTGCAAATCTAGCATCAGCCGACAAGAGGCATTGTGTTTGGCGCTATGCAGCCGATCTAGATCCAACAAAATAGCCGCATCATCACACTTCTCAACTGATCCTCTCAGCCCAGGCGTGACTAAAGTCGCCCTATGACCTCCTTCGCACTCGGAACGACAAGGGACGCACGCTGAGGACGTTAAGGCAAAAAAAAACATAATATTCAGCCCTCTGCGTTGCTGCCGTGATTTTTGTGCACGCTAGATTTATGCGTGAGATTTTGCTCTCAGGAAAAGCACAATCACCCTGATAGCAAACGACTAGTGTCGTCGCGTTAAAGGAGCAGGTGTAGAGTGTTTGCAGTACACTGATTTTTGCTGGTCCACTGCGTCTGTCGGAAGGCGTACGCGTACGCATCACAGGAGGCGAGGCCTTTCCCTGCATGCAGCGGTATTCCTGTAGGAATGCCGGCAAAACTTTCGAGAATGAAAACGACAAAATTAAAGCTTTTTAAAACTTGCTTTGTTCAAGTGTTGAGCGAATGGAGGTGTTTTAATTGATGTAAGTCAGTCACCGTAAAAAAATAGTACGGATCCATTTTAATTTTTTTTGAATAGGTTTTCAGGTTCAACACTTACATGCCTGTTTGTCATTTATAGGTACATTATACTTTATAATGTTGCGTGCCTGGACGCCTTCACATTCTACGGCCTTCCTAATCCATTCGCAGTTGTTAAGGCACCTACGATCCATTGGAATGTCAAACATCTCAGCCATCTGGAAATGTTGTCATTCTGCAAACCTGTTACTGCAGCAACCAGTTGACCACCAGAATTTCAGGGTCATTTTCAGAAGTCACTTTAAGTCAAAGTCACTTTATTAAGGGAAAAAGGCTTTCGCCCTTAAACTCCCTATTCATAACCAAAAATCGCAAAATAGGTCCACCGTAACAATAGTTCATGATACAAATGTAGGCTTAAAATCAGCGATAAGTGTGAGCCAGTTGCAAGGTGC